CTCTACACGTGGTTCTCGGGAAATGCCACGGTTACATATCATGCTGTATACAGAGAGAGAGAGGCACGTATAAATTGAAAACCGCAGTGCAGAGACGTCAAGTGCCTTCCATGCAGAGGGACTCGAAAAAGAAAAAAAAAAAAAAGGGTGGCGCGCACGCACACGTGCTCTACGGGAATTAAATGGCTATTTCGGTACTAAGATATATATGTACGTACAGTATAGTTTGGAAAATTCGAGACGCACTTTTTGCTCCGTAAACATTCTTATCGACCAACGAATAAGTAACGCTGTAATCGCTCGTTTGTTTATTTTCCGTCCAACCGTACTTATTCGGGCAAAAGTGCGTCGGGCCGTGCGTTCAAAACGATTTAGAGGGAAGAAACCTCCTTACAACATAAGGAATGTTTTTTTTTTGTTTCCCCAGTTCGCGGGTGACCTTGTCCCGAACGCACTAGCGGGAAATGGTAATGCTGGAAAAAAAAAACGAAGAGTTACTGCTCACTGTTTATAATTGTGGATTTGTTGTTTAAAAAATAAGATGGACGCGAAAACGGAATAACCGGTACATGGTATATGTCGTCAAGGACAGTACACGGCAATGTAACAGTAGTAGAGGCTCCACATCGTGGTTGAATTGAAATGAAAAGAAAAAAATAAAATAAAAAAGAAATCTCGGCGGGGAGAAATTAGCATTTACGATTGAATTGGCGAGCGAACGGATGAAAAGAAAAACGCGTAACCGGTCTCCGTGTATGGTAACCCTCTTGTATGTACATGTATAAACGCAATGCCACCTGACGCAGCAACAGCAGAGAAAGCGATGTAAATAACACATATTACACTCTTTTGTACGTAACATCTGATGCGCAAACGTTAAAAAGCTCTTTTTTTTTTTTTTAATATGATTTTCAGCCAACACGCTTGATTCACCACTATACCACTGTATTGGAACATTTTAATACTTCGTTCTGCATAGCTCACGCACTTTTCCTTGTAATAAGTGTACAACGTACGCAAGCATCGTGCAACGACTTGTGTATGACAACACGTCAGGCGTCCCAATCTCCGGGTGTCAAAGGACACCAATATACAGTGAACACGTTGTCACTGAGCTCAAAGTATTTTTCCTACCTAGGGCGTTTTTGAGAGGCTGGTGCGCCCTCGGTAGGAAAAATAGCATTCGCCACATAAGCTCCATTCCTCCGAGGCAACTTTATGAACCCTCGGGCCGCAAAATAGCCCCAGAGGCGATGGCGCTTATCCGACGAAAACTACCATTGTACGGACATTTAAATTAAGACCAGAGGTATAACTGTACTGCTTGAAAATGCAAGTTTCCGTGTAATGTTCAAACAAACAACAAATACCGAGTAAGTATGACAACGAGTGTGGAGCTATAGAGGAAAGAGAGGTTGAGTGTCCAGCAGAAGGCAGACTCAGCTGATATATGTATGTGCCAGGCTGGTCTCTTTGAAAACCTATTTCTAAATTTTGCAGTTTCTAGCGCTCTCGCTCGCGCGACGATTAAGCATTACGGCGGAATATTCTAATTTTGGAGGAGCCGCGGCACCGTAACCAACCGCGCGGGGAGGCTTATTATTAAGTATTACACCTATAATGAATAGACCCTTCGCACGGGTATGTGCGTACAAAAGCGACTGTGAGGCGTACCAAAGGGTGAGACGGGGGTGGATGTGTATAGAAGGAAAAAAAGAAAAAAGGAGAGAAGGTCTATGTACCATGTCAGCTCCCAGGTCTTTCATGTCGCAGTAGAGGAAGAGGTCCCCCGGCGGCTTCATCCAGCCGCCTGTGTAACTGTCCACCGTCTCCAATGCTCCGTCCAGCCGCGTCACCTCCTCGAGATTCACCCTTGGAGCGCCCGGGGTCGTCCCGACTGTTGACAGCCGCGACGACAGCACAGTTGGTCACTTTAATCGAACGACGACTACTCCAAAGGGCACTACTTAACGAAGACAACAACGACGACGACGACAACACTTTAAGCCGGAAACAACAACAATAACATCAACAACAGACCCAGAATAACAGGGACGTGTACACACTACTGCCACTGACCATGCACTTTTACTTCTTGCACTTTGTGTAATACAACAACCACCTTCACCTCCACTTGTTCCTACTGGTCCACGGGACACGAGTTCGCTGGACCTCCTCCTTGACCTCTTCTAAACTCAATGGCCAGACACGCGACCCGGCAATGAGGCCCGCCGTCGAAAAATCGTTATCGCCGATATAGAGGCGCGAGGCAGAGGGTGGACGCGGGGGCGCAGTAGTCGAAGTAGCCGGTACTGCTGCTGCTGCTCCTCTCCGCACGATGTTTATATATATAGTTGTCTGTTCACGATTTAAAACGNAGTCGTTAATCTTTGCATTCATACATATATAAATATATATGCGTTTATGTACTAGGTTGCACACACAGTGATTGCTGCGTATACATATATCTTTCTCTTGCTCTCGGTCACTGCTGCACGACGCGCCGCCTCTCAGTCCCTTGCACCGATATTATACCTTATCCGTCCCTCTACACCCCCTTGCTCCTCCGCCACCAGCTCTTCTTCCGACTACGGCACTGATGCTGGCTAGGCTGTCAACTGCGCCAACATCAACGAGACGTTCCGTTGAATCCTGCGACTATTCGACTGAGCCTTAACCTCCGCAGGGCTGGGCGTTGTTGTTGTTGTTATGCTGTCTGGCAGAGAGAGAGAGAGATCCCGGAGACCGGAGAGTATGAATATATGCTGGCCCAGCAGAGAGCAGCTACACGGACGCACGCGCGCACACTTCCGTCTTCCTCGGCTCTTGTTCCTCTTCCGCTCTTCCTCCCTGTCTCTCGTTCTCTTCCCGTTTGTGTGTAGGAGGTATCATGTATACACCTACGTATCTGTTACGGTGTGACACCTACACATAACCGTGCTTCTGTGCCCCGGCGACGACGAGACAGACAAAACACCGAAAAATTAAACCACACTTGGCTGCTGCTCCACAATTGTTGGCATCACTAGAGCACAGATCTTTAAAATGTATAGTATTCTGATAATTGGCTGCGATTGTACACAATAAGTATATCTAAACACAATGATACACAAACATACACGCCGATTAAGCACCGCAGTTTGATGTTGTTGCACTGCGGCGATGCTGTGACTGTGATACACGAGCAACGCTGATTAACGTGTTAGGTTATATATAAATATGTATATATACATATATTTGCAGATAGAATATTTAGGCTCCCCGTGTCCGTCCGCCGGGATTAGCGCTTCTTCCCGGTAACACTGCAGGCAATCGGCAATTGCGGGGATAGAGAGTACGGCAGCATCAGCGGCGTCGTCGTTGTCAATAGCAGCCGCGGCTCCGAACTCGGCCTTCGTGTTTCTTGCAGTTGACGTTTCTTTGGCTACACGATAGCTGGGCGGATGCCGTCGTCGTCGTCGGGATGATATGGTGTGGGTTTGCAAGAAAGAGAGAGCGAGGCAAAGAGAGCTGTCCGCTAGTACTGCCTGGTGGTGTGGTGGGAGAGCTGCTGTGTGCTGCGCACAAGAGCACGGGGACGCGCAGCTTTTTAGCGGCGTTGGGATGACAAGTCAAGATGATATTATATCAAGTAATAGATATATGAGTGAGTAAACGCGAGCTCGAGAAGAGCGGCTCTGCTCCTGCAGCTCTAGCGGCCTAGCTGTCGCCGAGGCGCCTGATGCTGTTGTGCTGCAGGTGTTGTGTTGTGTGTGCTCTACCGAGATATGGTTACTACTGCAGACTGGACGAAACAAAGAAGCGCGATTTGAGCGCCTCCTTTTGGCCGGTGCTTACTTTTTTCTCTCGTATATATTTGTATGTGTTGCACGTGTGTATAATATGTATATGCATCTAGCTGCGACGATTGCAATGTATATGTATACGCATGTACGTATGACATGCGGCTATCCCGTCCGTTTGTCTGCATATCCCTCGTATATGTAAGGTAACTCATGCAAGCTGTAATGGCTCGATGCCCCCTGAATCTACAATACAATCAGTGGACCCCAACTCATTGCACGAGTACATACATTTTTCCCCCCAACCGCCCTCGGCACGGGTACTGCAGTAGCATTTACGCGTGTTTGTGTGTGAGCGTGCGGCTTTTACGGGAAAAGAGGGAGACCTAGTGCACCCTCGCAAATGAACGTCAGCCACTCTATCGACAGATGCACGCTAATAGCATGGGTTGGTTGACTATCTTCTAAATTTTCAGAGCAAATGTATGCATATTTTGTTTTTCAATTACTAATTTTTTTTGTAATATCTACATAAATTGCACTAAACAGGCTTTGGTTACAGTCAATAGTAACTTCACAATTACAAAACGAAGGATGATCAGTTCAGTTAGTTTTGCCCAAGTATCAATAAATCTGTTTCTATGAATCCAGTAATTTTTTATTCATAACCGGGTTATCATTTTTAAACTATTTTCAGTGTCTTCAAAATTAAGAATTTTTTTCAAGTATAACACCAAAAGTGTGTCATACCTGTTAGAACAATACAAGAAAAATTTATGAGTAACCAATAACCCTATGCATTTAGATAAAGGTGTTGAAAAACGTTCTTAGCTTCTATAAATCATTATTTTTGTGTATAAACACTATTAAAAAATATTTCTCTAGCAACTATTTCTATTGAGCCTAACGTTTACTAGGAATCTCTAATTACATTAAATGTATTCATAAAGTGTGATGAAAATAGATTTTTCATCACATAAAATGTTGAAATGAAAAGAATATTGATTCTTATAACGTAAGTTAACTTGTAAGACAAATTAGAAATATAAAACATCTCGAAACGTAAAACGATTGTACTTAAACCTAAGTGAAGAGATTTTTTGAATATTAAAAAAATCAGTATGTTGTTCATATAAAAATTTTATACAGTAACCAAAAACTTGTAATAATTCACTACTAATATAAAAAAAAAAAACATTTTACTAGTAAAATACTAACCTGGCCATTTCTGAATTGCTGCTGCTGCTGTTGTTGCTGCTGCTGTTGCTGTTGTTGATGGTGAAACAAGGCAACTTGATGCTGAGGTGCCATCTGATTATTAAGATAAACTAAATTTTCTGTTGGCATTCCACTCTAAAATTTGTGATTCAACATATTAGCATTTTTCTTTAAAATTACGACTTTTCATCAAACGTATTCCCATGAAAATTACCTTTAATTGCATTGGATGTATTTCATAAGGCATATGTACATTATTCATAGCTTGAAGTCCAAGCTGCTGTGGCTGAGTCTGTTGTGGCACTCCAATTTTGTTCATTGGGTATTTCCACTTTTCTTGATTCTAAATTAAAAATAAAAGTTTAAGTTACAATATTATTTACATTTTTTTCATTCAAACTGAAGGAAACTTCAAGACACTAACATCGATTATCCCATCATCAGCTAAGGCCCAAGCTCGTGGGGATTGTTTTGTTTGAAAAGCTGATGTCTGAACACCAAACTCTTGATCTGTCGGACGTTGAAATACATAACCCACCATGGCTTCATCCTGAACTCTATTTACACCAATTTGATGTGCCTGACCTGGTGGTAGGCGACTGGCATCACCACCTGCCATAACCTGACCGCAATTATCTGTGTCCTATGGAACAAAATATTTTTTTAGTTAAGCACTACTAATTTACTATTAGGCACAACAAACATTTACATTAGTTGTGTAAATATCTAAAGTTAATAACCTCATAAATATACATGTTTTAATAGATGAACGGTAACGCTGTTTATAAATAATTTGCATGTAATGGCTGAAGAACTACTAGACAGTATAACCTATATATTGAAAAAAAAAAAAAAAAAAAAAACATAGCATCAAGATTCGTGAAAAACAAAACGTTACTGGGTGAAACAAACAAATGAATCAAACTGTAATGCTTTTGACACCAACAATTAGATGGATAGGTGATCAACTGTTTTTGGTGAAATTATTTGCACACTTAAATTTTCACTAGAAACTGATAAAAGAACTGAATAATACTCATTACTAGTTTCGCCCTTGTCATTTTAGGGCCATCATTATAAAATGAGTGAAAAAACTTTAAAGCTATCCGCACTTGAAAAGTCCAAATTCACCAAGCAAGTAACACAATTTAAGCAAAGGGAGAGAAGTTAACAGCGACTCTGGAGGAAGAGTAAGAAGAGGAGAAAGAGTATAGGAGGAGGAAGAGAAAGAATATAGTGGAGGACTTGTACGTGTGTACATCTGTTCACGTATGGATACGTGTGTATATATAAATATATATGCATGTACGTTGGGTTTGGGTGACGACGATGAGGGGGAAAGAGAGAGCTTTACAGTCTTTAGACTCAATGTGCAGGGTATATGTGTGTGTGTAGGCAGGTATACACTACACTGCATTACTACGGGTACCTAGTGTGTACCTACCTACAAAAGTAATAATAATAATAATAATAATAATAATAAGTAAGTACTATACTCGGTGAATGACGCCAACTCGACCAAGTACTTACTGTGGGTATGTGTCCATTATGAGTAGGATGGAGCTGCATCGGTGGAGCCGGCTCGCCCCCGGCCCCGGCGCTGCCCGCGCCCAGCCACTTCATCCTGCGGCCGACGTCTTTGGCTCAGCAGAGCGACTCCTTTTCACTATTTTCTGTTAGTTCACGTCCGGCCTCACGAGCCCCCTTCGAGTGCGCCACCGGTTATCGGGCGTACTTCTTTAAGGACGACTCCTGTCCTCTTTCTCATACAGCTTCGCCGAGAGCTCGTACTCCACGGGTCGTCGTCTGATGGCTCTTTGCACTCCGGTTCGAGGGTTTACGCTCGTCGACGCGAACGCGGCGCTGGTCACACACGGGGAACACGGGTTATAGTTACCAATACATACCTATATACCTACTCTCATATATACTTGGCACCTTGGTAGCAAAGCGAGAGAGCGAGAGCAACATGAAAACGGAGCACGAGAGAAAGAGAAAGATAATTTTGTGTGTACACATATTACGAATATTGCGGAGTAAAACCGGCTGTGTATACGCACACTACAGCACGTAGAACCAGAAACCGCGGTCGGCGGTCGGCACTGTCGGCAGTGTCCGCACGCACGGCACCACGGCAGACGAACACGCACACGTGCACAGGCTGGCCGAGCTGCTGGTGTAGCGATTCAGCGATACTCGTCTGATGGCCAAGTACTTAATGCATTACCCAAGCGTACACAAGCTATGCCCATCACCACCCAACCACTATTTGCCGGCGCACCCTTAATGTTATTACTCACGTCCTTCTTCTCCTTTTTCGCGGCCTAGCTCTCTTACTTTGTTACAAAGGGAAATATCCTCTAAAATCTGTGACAATAAGTACTTACTTTGGCGTTAGTTAGAAGCCTGATGCAGAATTCAGGATGCTCCGATTGTCCAAGTGAGTAAATTTTTTTTGTGGGAATATAGGGTACAAGGTTGGCCCTTTGAACTAGATTATTAGAAAATGTTTGTAAGACGACTTGGACAGCTCGTTAACAAAGGCAGGCCGGCCCACCGGTCCAGCGTTTTTCTCTCTGTATGGATAACGCTACGAAAGTGAGGTTATGGTTTACGAATTTCTCTCAAGTAGTTGTTGTTTGGATTGTTTTTGTTATCTCTCCTCGGCAACCAAGGTATATCGTCAATCCTCACACCGAACACCAGCAAACGGAACAAATAACACTATTATATTTACAATTTTTATTATGCGCAAGTATACTATATATACAGAGCTTGCGAGAGAGCTGCCCAACACTGCTCTCGGCAGACTGTATTGCGCCGCTTATAGCTATCATTGTACGGCAGTCCTGGCACTGCTGCATGGCCTTGATCATGTGTGTGCATGTCGGTGGAGTGAGAGAGGGGGAGAAAAAGAAAAATAACTAGGCCCCCTTTAACTTCGAAATTCTGATAGACATTTGACACAAATTATTTCTCCAGTTTATGCGCTTTTGAACTTGTTCGATAAGGATTGTTTTAATTATACAAACATCATAATATAAGGTAGAAAAGTTTCATGCACACAGAATGCTTTGGTAACTACTGTTGATTGCAAAAATTACCGCCACAATCCATTGTTTCTCTCCCTACGGTAAGCATTTTCAGTTAGTCGTTTAAGGTAAACAAATAATTTTTTGGTAGTTAAGTATTTAATTTCAATAACGCGTGTTGGTTTCAAACTGTCGTTAAGTTTATTGAGATGTCATTTTCGTTATTGTCATACAAATTTTATTTTTAAGATAACTTACACACGAAAATTTAATTGACGTCAGCAAATTCATCAAGATGAATTCTAAAAATACTTGAATACTCAACATATCAAAAACCCCCACTTGTCAATATAGTACATATACTCGAATACATGCGACTCTTGGTAAAAATTACGGACACTTTGTATTCGTAGCTGTTTTAATGTGTTTTTCCGAAACTTTCCAATTATTATTAATAATCACCGGACTTTATAAATGAGAATTCGCCAAGCTCTTAACGACCGAAAAACAATTTGGTTTCGCCAGTAGTTCTGATGTACATTATTTTTATAATAGACGTGTTTTATATTTGAGAAAACAATTCGACTAGATGTAATAAAAAAAAAATCATTTTTTGTTTTTCATTTGCAAGAATACTCATGTTTTATCTTTTTGAAATAACTGTTGGACAAACGGTACTTGTGCAATAAATCTTGATATTTACAACTTTTACGGTAAACGATTTTTCAGCAATTACAAAATATGATGGGTGGTGCAAGGTATAAAAAAAAAAGTTCAACTTGAAAGTACTGTCTTTTAATTATTTCTATGCACAGAGAAAAGTCAATTTTAATAAAAAAGAATCTATAAAAAACAAAGACGGACGGAAACATCGCACATATCGTCCCAATATTTTATAGTTGACCGAAAATCAGCATACTATTAAAAACGATCGTAAGCATGTCATTTGCTCATTTTGTTTATACTTATATTCATAAATAAAATAACGATCGCTATGCCCTCGCAGCATAATTACACCACAGTCAACATTTTACAAGTCCTCAATGTAATAATGCACTGTAAGGAGCAAATTAATTAATATTTTCGTACAAGACGCTGTTACGAGTTTTAAAATGAGGTAATATGCTATTATAATTGATCCCCGTAAGTGCAACCATTGTTCAAATTAAGTAAACAAAACGAAATAAAAATTCATTATAACTATATTATTTGAGTTATATTTTATTTCAAATAAAATAATTTTTATCACAACGACACTTAATAATTATAACAAAAACCTGGATACGAAAAATAATAAACGAATTTTGTTGATTTGCACAGAATTATACAGGTAGTTATATTAGTAGATGTGCATCCAACTTAGTTATTTGATTTTTAATAATATAAGAAAAAAAATATACCAATGTAACGATTTGTTGGGAACACACGAAGTTATATTTTAAGATGTCTTCAAAAAAACCATTGGATGATAAAAAGTAAGATCCTGTTAAGTTGATAGATATAATAACATGAACTGATGTTTCATAATTTAATGGTTTAATAATAATATAGGTAATCGTAATAGTAATGATAATCATAATAAAGGTAGTATATTTATAGCGAGATAAAAATTGATACAATTTGTGCTAAATGTACCTAGTTAACAATAGTGTGTATTTTTTGTCACGTCCTCACAATTACAAAGTATTTACAATTGCAGAAAATGGGATAATTAGTATGTAGGCACTATGGCTTTGGATATACACTAATTTGTCCATTATATCCTTAAGGGATTTCGAAGGAAATTTTAATCAATGAATTTCAGAATAAAAGCAGAAAACACTATATGTATTTTTAAAAATTCTAACAGGATACAAAGAAATGTGAATAAAATATTTACTCCGATTAAAGTCGTTAATCTTTGCATTCATACTAAAACTTAATGAAAATGTAATTGTTTTAGTTCATGATATTTTAATAAAAATTAGCAAGTTTTTAAATCCAATTAAAATGGATTTTCTTCTGGAAATTTTTTAATCAGGTTCAAAATGATTTTCAAACAATCATTATGATGGTAGTACACGTGATTATAATTTAAGATATATTTCAAAACAAGGTAATTTTCCAAACCTGCTTAAGTTTTGACACTGAATAATAATCATTCGGCACGATGAAGGTACTTTTTAGGTATTTTTGTATATAATGAGCTATGAGTGCTAAGCAAATATACATGGGTAAAACGAACAACAAATTAATATAAAACCAAGGTAAAGAAGAGTTCGATTTGATTGACTTACTTTTTTTATTACCATCTATCAATCATATATATATTTTATTCCATGCATTCATACGCACTTTCATGCATTAATGTTTCCCCTCATGATTTTTCTCTCTCATACATTGACAAAAGTATTAAGAAAGGAAAATAAAGAGCAAACAAAGTTGAGCATAGTTTTTTCTTTTTCTTTCTTTTTTCCATTAAGCCTATTTGTAAATTCAATTTTTTTCATTACAAAGTCTTAGATCCATCACGTTCGAACAATGAACTCTGATGCGAGCATTAAACAAAATATTATATTACAAATTCAGATCTAAGACGCTTTGCAAACTTTTTTTTAGATCACGCAAAAAATGCTATCTAGAATCATACTGGTTCTAGTCGATCTTGCTCTGTATTCTTATGACGCGTGAACAATTGTTGATCACACTATTATACACAAATCTAAATTGCACGAAACAGCCATAGGCATCGTTCATTACATTACAAAGGCTTGCAATTGATTTTATAATGAATAATTTGCTGTTTTTCCGACATTTCGGTCTACTGGAAAGGATTCGAAAAATTGTTGCATTACATTGTCAACGTACGTGATATGTGTGTTTGCACATTCGTTTACTTTATGCAATTCAACATGTGTACAGTCTTGAGTACCTATCGCAGTTTGCATAGTTGTTGCACATAATTGATGAGATACTTGGTGAACGACGACTCGATTGAGTTGAAAACAGGTACCACTAAGTACAAAGTTGAGCTTTTCGAAAGGCTTCTCAGTAAATTATTCACAAAGACAAACTCAACTTGATGAAATTGGTATCTCAATTCTTGGCAACTTAAAATTGTAAGTCAAAGAGATCCGATAGGCCTTCCCCGGTACCAAGCGAAAACGAATAGTCGTTTTCAGAGAGAGGTGGCTCCAGAGACAGTAGAGTGTCGTTGAAATCGAAATCTAAAATAAACAAGTCAACATCATTTCGTTAGTGCAAAGTAACATAATTACTGGTTAATAGTAACAAAATATATAGTCATGTAATGTTAGCTGCAATTAAAATTTATCTTCGGTACACTTTTTGTGTATCAGAAATGGGACTTGTTGTTATTTGCCAATACTCAACAAGAACTCTGCCTGTGATGTGATTTATTATTACTACACATGTCACAGTCAGAGCTCCTTCAAGGATTGCCAATTATTCTGTAAAAGTATAATTGTTTGTACGATAAATGTGATCAATGTTACGGACTCAATAATCTTCAGTTCAAAGACAAAAGATTTTCATTGCGAATGTGGTGTTGTGCATAATAACTTTTTTAATATCGCAACTAGTATATTAAGCGGAAAGCGATCATTAAAATTAACTGAATAGCATTCAGAAATACCATTACCTGATGAAATGTGATGATCGTCAGTTTGCAACTGAAGTCTACCACCACCCATAACACCAAAGTCGTCCGATTCACAGAGCAACGCGTCCCTCATGCCGGACGAAGTGAGTGTAGCAAGCATTATCTGTTCGTTGGTTATTATACCGTGCTGCTGCTGCTGCTGCTGCTGTTGGTGGTGGAGGTGATGCGGTTGCACCTCAACTAATGCTGAGTGTACGGGCACTTCCACGGGTTCGACTTTAACGACACCGGCACAATTGTTTGCCAAGAAATCCGAAGACGCAGAGACCATCGACATTGAAGAACGTTCTTTAATAACAGGGGACGGCTTTGGTGGTGGTACTGTCGTCATTGCTGTACTCTTTGATGCCACCGCGTAATTCGGAGTCAGAGGCGGCTGCTGCTGCCGTACACTGCTGTCGTCTGGACAGAGGAATACTTCGATTTCTCCGTGTGTCGACCTCATGTGTATTTGAAGCTAAAATAATGATTCGAGTACACATATTTTAGTCGTCCAAATTACTTGTAGACCTATGAGTAAAAAGTGATTTGAATGAACCTTAGGCTGGCCGAAATTATTAATCGGTTGTGGTACGTGCAGAGTTGCCTCGGGTGGCGCTTTCACGGCCATAATAGACTGATCTTTGTACGAGACGACGGAGCGCAAGTCATGATACGTCACATAGGCGTACGTTCTGTCGGCTGTGAACTCGTTGAACTCCTTTTGCGCGCTGCTTAGCAGCCTGTCCAGGGCATTTTCTTTCGCTTCCAAATCCGCAACTTCCTTTCGCAGATCCAGAAAGTTATTTTGATCGCTCGGCAGACAGCTGCTCCTAGGTTACAAAGTAATATTTCATTGTCAATGTATTTCGAGAACATTATTATTATTATCATTATCATTGATCGTTACGTATATCAGGTCAAACGGTAGAGGCAGAGAAAGAGAGAGAGAAAGGGAGATGACTTACTTCCATTGAATATTATTTTTACTCTTCTTCTCCAAAATGCCGATGCCCTCTAAAACGTTTGTAATATCGTAGATACGGCGTTTTTGAACTTCGAGCTTTTCGGATGCTACATTTAAGTCAACTACGCCGTCGTTACTCTCTTCTACGAGACTAATGAATTTTTTTGTGAGCAAACTCAAGGACGTATCGTACCGCGTCCTCTCTACTGTTTTGCCTGCAAGAAAACCACACATTGGCGATTAACCAGAGGGACAAATTATCAAAAATAGCGATAATAACAACTATAATAGTAACTAAAATCTAGGGAGAATTTTTTTTCCGGAAACTCACTTTTTGTCGGAGTTTGACTAGTAACCGAACCCGATCTTCTGCGTTTGCCTCGCGGAGTTTTGAAAGTGTTGGATTGACTTGGTCCAATCTCCAAATTCAGTCTTCTTTTTACCGCCTGAACCGACATCTGAAATTTCAATGACGGTAAAGATTATTACACTTACGTGTCCCATTGATTTTTCATTTCTTTCAAAGCAGTGACAATAAGCACATGTAAATGTAAAAAGAAGCAATGAAAGAAATATTTCAAACGAGAAATTGGTTAATTTCGGTAATGACGGATATCAAAATATTTACTTCGGTTCTGGGATTCGCCTGTATGGTTCGCCTCGTTACTTGGTAGCAGGGAGTCTGTCCGTACTGGTGATCCTGCAGATGTGGACTCGGCGTCTCTTCAGCGATTTTCTGTGCTTGGCTCTCATCGTACGTTCCATTGTCGCAATCGACGAAGTCTGTTTTAACTTTGACGAAAACAAGAAAAGAAAAAAAAAATCTATTAATCAGGAACTCAATGCCGTGCTTTTAGGAAAAAAACTAAAATTTAAGAGCAAGCACTTGATTTTGTGTAATTTTTTTTTCTTTTTCTCTCTCAACACACACATTGGCTCAACAACAAATTCCCGATGTTTTCACTGATAACACGCGCACAAATTGGAAGGGTACAAAGAATGAAAGCAGCAAGTAATCAACAGCTACTTCGAATATATCGTACATCGTATCAAAATACACACGTACATACATAAACAAGATAGAGGAAAGAGTTACATGTATACACATACGTGATTATTAGTCGGCGTTTACCTAATTTTGTCTCGACCATATCAGGCGTTACGGGCCTGGCTAGATCCTCCAACATCACTTGTCTCTTCACACGTGGCATCGTTATGCGGTACAATAACTCCTGCGAATGCTGCTACTTTGTTGTTGCTGCTTATACGGTGACAATGAGCCGCTACAATAGCTCGTGACTTCTGCAAAAACAAATGGGCCAAAATAGGCTTTCGTTAATTTTGTATCCATATCATTGGCTGTTCTTACAACTAAAAAGAGTGTGATGTCTCTGTAAGTAGTAGTAGTAGGTAGGTATAATAGTAATAATAATATACGAGTTGCAGTACTATATAGTAAAAATCATGAAAGGCATTGACATGCTAGGAAAGCCTAAAATATTCACCCAACAAACAAACAGAGGAGGAGGAAAAAATAGACGCATGTACAGCATCATCGAATAGTTGCTGCAACAGCACCAGAAATATTAAAGTTGATTTGTTGTTGTTTTTTTTTTTTTTTTTTGTTTCCCTCTTCTTTTCATTGCCGAAATTACCTTTTTTAATCAAAAATTCTCGCGGGGGGGAAGGAATGAAGTCAGGAGGGTGGGCCTGCAAGCATCAAGCGTGTGTGAAAGTGTGCGAGAGGGTCAGCAGATATAGACAGAGAGAGAAGAAGCCGGTCGAGAGTGGAGGGTCCTGTCGAAGGGCGTGAGCTTCTCTCTCATTCTAGGTATATAATACAAGTCTCCAAAAGAGAGAGAGAGAGAGAGAGAGAGAAAGGATCTTCTCCCTCGACTTAAAGGTACGGCAGGCAGGGGGATCCAGGATATTTTACTCTCTCTTGCTCTGCAAAGTCTTTCGGGCGCGCATTCCGTAGGCGCGCGAGGGAAGAGAAAGAAGACCCAGGGAGCGCTCTCTCTCTCTCTCTCTCTGCCATGCATTTGTTGTTGCCGGCCGGTGTGGTGCAACAGGGCAAGGATGTATCTTTCTTTTTCGCATAATCGCGTTGCAGCTCTCCTCCTCCGCTCGGTAGACCTCCTCGTCCTCCTATCACCACCACCACCATCATCATCATCATCATCCGGGCCTGCATGCCCGCGCGCGCACGCACCCGCTTTCTCTCTCTCTCTCTCTCTACCTCTAAAGTTACCGGTTTTCAAAAGAGCCTCCTCCTTCTCTTTGAGCGCGCAAGGGGGTACACCCGAGCGAACTCAACAAACGCACCAGTACCTTCACCCACAGCCACTACCAGGATCCCAACTCTTCGTGTGGGTCCATGGTGCAGCAAAGGGGGCATCAGAGAGCCCGATGCATCGTCTCCGTGCAGGAGGCCAATAGTTCTGTATGCGCATGGCGAGCAGAGAGGAGGAGGAGGAGATAAGAGGGACTTCTCTCCCCGCGCGTCCTGGCGGAGCCTCTAGACGCGTGTAATAATAATAATAATAATACGCGTACCAGGAGAAGAGCCACCGACGGACGCCTGAGAGCGGAAGCCGATATCTGCAGAGCACACACACGCGGCCACACTTTCCCGTGGTGTCCCCTCCTCGCGCCTCGTATCTATCTGTACATATATGTGGTTTGGCAACCCCCCTGCTGCTGCAGCGAGCCGAGAGAAGAAACATCGGAGTCTTTGAACTTTTGCCTTTTTTTCTTTTTTTTTTTTTTTTTTTTTTTTTTTTTTTGCTGTAACCCGGCATCTCGAGAATTGTTACGTCCACTCGTGAGTAAGATGACGATGATCATTCATAAGGATAAGGATGAAAAGCCTAAAAGTCTCCGGATCGCAGGGTCGAAAGTTCTTCATATTTTGTGTAAACTATATGTATATATAATATATATATAAATGTACGCGGATGATGTAAGAATGCGCGCGTCCAGGCCTCGCGTCGCGTAAACGCTGTGCAAGAGAGAAAAAAAAAAGAGCGATAAGATACCTCAGAGCGAACAACATACATACTTAGGTATTATACATCCATACAGGGATATACGGCTCTATGGGATATGTTTTTTTTATTTTCCATTCTCGATGTTTCGTGCAAATTTGTGGTCTAAGTTGCCTCTTGGCTGTGGCTGGGGCCATTTTTTGTATTATCATTCCTAACAATGATTTTGAAGAAGTTTTCGATTTGCTTATTCTTGTGTCATTAACTTAATTTAATTTGAATAAAAAAATAAACTTTTGAGAGAAGTTAATTGCTCTCCCTTTGTTCGGGCTATTATCAATTTGAAACAACAATTTCAGAGCAGCTTTGTCTATCTGCTTACTCGTGCTCTTTCGATTTTATCTTTACAGCACGTCAGCACGTAAAAAAAGGTAAGATATTTGCATTTGGTCGGTATTACTGAAACATTTTTCCACCGTTACGGGTTTCGTCGCGTAGATGTATACAGTTTCGTTAGCTTGGATAACGTCGCGGGGTGGATGACCCTATCATCGAGGGACTGTATTGTAATTGCTTATGTAATAAAAACGGAGCAACACATTAGCACGTATCATTATTGTTTTTTTTCTTTATAAAATACAACTTGTAGGTGAAATAGTATTATTTGCGTCGATGTATGATTATATGTTAACGGTTGGGACCCTTGGCAAGTGTATTATACTGTTTACCTTCATTTCTTGGAGTGAAAAAAAAAAAAAAAAAAAAAAAATCGCAAACATCACGAATTGGGGAAAAAATGCACGCGTTACCCAATCGGACGATCGACGATTGATAATAAACTTTTCATCGAAACGATAGTACACATAAGCATTGCGATTTGTTCACTTCGACGACATAAACCAGTCCCGAAAGCACCCGGCCACGAGTTCTTCCTCCTCGTCAAGGGCAAAATGATAAATACTTCTAATCGCTCGAGCTAATCCGAAACGCGCATCGCAAAAGAGAGAGATAAAAAAAGAGAAGAAAAAAACAACAACCCAGCATAAGGTACCGTTCTTGCGCGTTGACGCCTGCTCTTTGCAAAAAAAAAAAATAAAATAAAAAAAAAAGTGTCTCCTCTTCAACTGCTCGCGTATCTGATGCGCGTATAAATACCATAGCTGTATGTATATATAGGCACGGTGGTTCCGTTTTACTCGATAAGTGAAAAAGAAAAAAAAAAAAAAAAAAAAAAATTTTTTAAGTTGTGGGTTTTTCCGAATTTTACAAACAAAAAAAAAAAAAAAAAAAAGTAATAATAATAATAATAACAATAATAATAATAATAATAATAAGTAAGTACTATACTCGGTGAATGACGCCAACTCGACCAAGTACTTACTGTGGGTATGTGTCCATTATGAGTAGGATGGAGCTGCATCGGTGGAGCCGGCTCGCCCCCGGCCCCGGCGCTGCCCGCGCCCAGCCACTTCATCCTGCGGCCGACGTCTTTGGCTCAGCAGAGCGACTCCTTTTCACTATTTTCTGTTAGTTCACGTCCGGCCTCANATTTATATATCAAATTATCCGAGTGACGTCGTCGATATCCGTCGATGCGTAGGTATACGATACTTATGACTGATGAACGAGACAAATCGAGGTATACTTATACGTTCACCGACACGATAGCGCAGAGATAAAATTGCTGTTTCGTCGATCATCGAAGTTAAGCAACATTAGGCGCGGTTAGTACTTGGAAGGGTGACCATCGAGGTGACCATGTTTGTTTTGCCTTTGCTTGAATGGATTGCGAGGGTCGATTAATTGTTCCCTCTGACGTTTCGTCAACGTCATCGGGAGGTGTGCAGGAGTTGGTGCCTACAAGTAGGCAATACACCGATTAGTCGTAAGTGTCAGTCTTACCCCCTACCCTATTTCATCCATGTTCACTGTCAGCTACAGGCGTCCAAGCACCGTCTGTACCGTTTTTCTTGTCGTTACGGCTTCCCTACGTCTTGTTATAAAATATCGAGGCTTTGCAAACAACTTACTTGCATGAACACTGCGTCCATTGGAATTGGGACTGAATGGATACGTATACTTGCACGATGTTGACATTCCAAGTGATACACGCTTTTTGGATCGTCACGGAGATTCGTATGGTTGAGTTTGCGTGAATTTTATATTTGGAAACGAATAAAGTTCAAACCACTCGTGTGTAGGTAGAGCTGCTAATCTTTCTTTCGTTTGAATGACTATGACTCGGGCGGGTATAATAATATGTTCACGAGATTAGAAAGCCGAACGAACAGAACGGAAAAAAATGAGCGGTTCCATGTGTTGTCGGATACAGCTGTACGGTTGTATGCCATGAAATATTTCGAGTAACGGCTTTAACGTTTTATTTTATGTTCATTAAACAAGTTTTTATACGCTCTGAATTTAAAATACAACGGAAACTCAATGTTTTTAAGTTATGAGGATATCTACATCATCAATTTATATTTAGAAAGTACATCTGAGTAAGATAATCATCATTTCATTACTTTTATAATTAACATATATTTAAGTAGTTATTATAAATACTTGCTGATGACATAAAAGTTCTCGGAGCACTTCAAAATTTATGGTTATTATTTCGATGTCATTCGAAAGAGTCAAATAATTTGCAAGGTAATATCATTTTATTTACTATTTGAATAATTTTTTTACATTTCGTTTCAATGCTCGATACCAATGATGATTATTTTGTCATTCAAACACGATGATGATTACTTATCTAATTTGTGAAAAAAAAACTGTGAAATTTTCAGCGGTAAAAAATCTGTTTGTTGATGATTTTCATAAGTGGATTTTGTACTTTTATTTTTTTTTCAAGCTTGTCGGTAGTTTTACCACCTCCACGTTTAAGTTCACAGCACCCTCGGGGACTCTTCGTACTCCCCTTGGTATAACGTACTAGTTGTCAAAGCTAAGCCTATTATATCTTGTAGAATTCTTGTAGCCGTTAAAAATGTGCTTTTCACGTAAAATCCGGGAATCACAGCTCATGGAAAACCGCGAAAAATCACGTAAACGTGCCGTAAAAGTTTTTCTTTTCCCTCAAACGTCAATATAATCGAAGTTTTTTTACACCAAAATACTGTTTCGAATAAGAAAAAAAAAAAAAAAACGAACAACATTTATGTACCGTAGTAACATATTTCAAAAGCCAGTTCTTTTCATTGCATATAATGGAATTTTCGACCCGACACAAAATCCGCGGGTGTCAAATAAACATAAATAAAAAATACTGCAATCGGTAAATAAAATCCAACATCGCTGAAGCGATTCTCT